TTTCTTCCTGGCAGGGCTTCTCCAGCCTTCAAACACTACCTCTCCTGCTCAGAGACCATACTGGTGAGCAACAGCCCATCAAAATACTTATGTTGTTTGGGGGAATCCTACATTGCCAAGAAGTGCAACTTCTGTCTAGCCTCAAGCCCAGTGTGAGGAAGAATGGAGAGATTAAGATCAGACTGTTTATGATGAAGTGATCCATTCAGCCACCATCCGAGCCAGGTCAGGAGACTTACAGACCTCCTCGCCATCCACCCACACATGTTCATCTATTTCTGGATAGATCCAGCACCACTTCTGTTTTGGAACCGCCTTCCCCTAACAAAGGGAGAAAGTGGTAGTGTCGGGGGAGATTTCCAAAAACAGAACCACTGGACTCTCACCTTTATTAGCCAGCTCCAAAAAAGACTAGGTCGCTGGAGATATCTACAGTCTCTGAAGCCTGAGCTTCTCGGCTTGGTACTCTTGTGTTGAAGGACTTCTCCTCTGGCCCAGATGGATCCATGGAGTCCTGGAGCACCAAGAACAAGTACACTGTTCTTATAAGACCTCTTTACCATCTTCAGGCGAGGAGGGCAAGCATAGACACTCAAAATGGGAACCACTGGGTTTAGCCCAGCCATTGGTACCTTTGCATTCATCCAAACTGTTGCCTGTGTATTCTACCTAGCCATTGGTACCTATGCATTTGGCACCCTTGGCATCAACTTTGGTACAACCACCAATGGTCCCATCAGCAACTGTGCTAATGAAGGGACTGTATCAGTACCAGTCTCTTACTCAATACCACAAGAGTTTAGTTATACAAGGGACCACTCAATAATGGATGAGTGAGAATCCCCATTCCTTATGGGTATCAACCATCTGTAGGTGCTGAGACCCTGATCTCCGGATTACTACATCCAATATTACAAGACTTTCCTCCTTTTTCTGTGGGTGTTTCCCCACTGAGTGAGATGGAGGATGATAAGTGAGTGTTTCAGTTGGTCTTGTCTATTTCTGTCCAAGATTCTCAGACATACCCCTTCAGGAACACTTTGTTTGGTAACTACGAGAAGGATCATGCTTGCTATCATGGGTACATGCCACCCCACAATGGGCAGATTGGGCTGCCTATTGACTGTGATTTGCCAGACCACTAGTACTATCTCATAGGGAGGCCAGAGTTTCTCAACCCTCCTCTCCCCAAACTGTCTGCACCTCTCACCCCAGGAAGAGACAATTGAAGAACAGGAGGCTGAGATGAATAAAGATGTTTACCCTTCAAAATCCTCATTTTTAGTCAAGGACTATTGAGATGGATTTCCAAATTTATTATCACTTGTTATAAGACTGCAGATGTTCATCCCCCCCAGAGGGTTATAGCATATTCAACCAGACCACAAGCAACTTCTATAGCACTACAGAAAAATATACCAATATCTGAACTATGTAGAGCCACGACACAGGCTAATAATACATACATTATTTTAAAATAACGTATACATAAAATAATACATACATTATTTTAAACAATAGGCCCTGATCCAGTCTGTCAGATCCGATGTAGCACTTGGTTCTGCAGTACTGACTTAATTTCTCATCTCTATTCTGAAGTTTCCTCCTCCATTTGTGCTTGAAGCACTAACAGGGACTTACTTGAGGAAGAGGTTATTCAACTTATACAGTAACTGTGGTACTTCAAGGTGTGTCCTGCCTTCTTCCCCCTCTGCTTCAGACTGTTTCTTCAGGAATGTTTGTGTGGAGAAGGAACTGAGGGTGGTTTGCCCACCCTCCCCTGTAGTTTTGCTGATCAGCACAAGGAGGCATAGATGCATGTGCATGCTGAATGGATGCTGCTAATTAAAAATCTCCAAGGGCTTGAGAGGCACATGTGCACCTGAAGGGGACCACCCATAGGAACACACATCTTGAAGAATCACAGTTACTGCACAAAGTGAATCACCTCTACATAGATCCCTTTCCATATTATAATTCTTTGTTTGCTTTTGAAAACATATCAGAAGGAAATGAAATGTATTTATAATATTTCTTATGTTTTTCATCATAGGATCTCACATTGCTTTGTAAACATCAGAGTCTTTAGCATACTACCACTCCTGTGAGATAAGGAAGTACCATTATCTCCAGTGGCGGCTCGTCAATACAGGCGAACTAGGCAGTCGTCTAGGGCGCCAAGATAAATGACCATTGAGGGCTTTGGAGGCAGGGGCGCCGATCACGTGTTTCATCTAGGGCGCCAGTTGCCGGCAGCTTGTCTAGCGCCACTCCTGATTATCTCCATTTCATAAATGGGGAATCTGAGGCACAGGACAGTGAAGTTACTTGCCTGAGATCAGTTGCAGTCAGGATCCCAGGAGTAGGCTTAGGGTCAGGCAGGCATACACTCGTTCAGCAAGGATTTCATCTCCACTGATATCTCAGCTGTTTATTTTGCTCTGTCTACACCATCCCTGACAGATGTCTATCTAACCTGTTCTTAAATATCTCCAGAGAGGGAGATTCCACCACCTCCCTTGGCAATTTATTCCAATATTTGACCACCCTGACAGTTAGGAATTTTTTCCTAATGTCCAATCTAAACCTCCCCTGCTGCACTTTAAGCCCATTACTCCTTGTCCTGTCCTCAGAAACCAAGAGGAACAAATTTTCTCCTTCCTCCTTGTGACACCCTTTTAGATATTTGAAAACCGCTATCATGTCCCCCCTTAATCTTCTTTTTTCCAAACTAAACAAGCCCAGTTCATGAAGCCTGGCTTCATAGGTCATGTTCTCTAAACCTTTAATCATTCTTGTTGCTCTTCTCTGTACCCTTTCCAATTTCTCCACATCTTTCTTGAAATGTGGCGCCCAGAACTGGACACAGTACTCCAGCTGAGGCCTAACTAGTGCAGAGTAGAGCGGCAGAATGACTTCACGAGTTTTGCTTACAACACACCTGTTGATACAACCTAGAATCATATTTGCTTTTTTTGCAACAGCATCACACTGTTGACTCATATTCAACTTGTGGTCCACTATGACCCCTAGATCCCTTTCTGCCATGCTCCTTCCTAGACAGTCGCTTCCCATCTTGTATGTATGGAACTGATTGTTCCTTCCTAAGTGGAGCACTTTGCATTTCTCTTTATTAAACCTCATCCTGTTTACCTCTGACCATTTCTCTAACTTGCTAAGGTCATTTTGAATTATGTCCCTATCCTCCAAAGAAGTTGCAACCCCACCCAGTTTGGTATCATCTGCAAACTTAATAAGCGTACTCTCTATCCCAATATCTACATCATTGATGAAGATGTTGAACAGTATGGGTCCCAAAACAGACCCTTGAGGAACTCCACTTGTTATCCCTTTCCAGCAGGATTTAGAACCGTTAACAACAACTCTCTGACTACGGTTATCCAGCCAATTATGCACCCACCTTATCGTGGCCCTATCTAAGTTATATTTGCCTAGTTTATCAATAAGAATATCATGCGAGACCGTATCAAATGCCTTACTAAAGTCTAGGTATATGACATCCACCGCTTCTCCCTTATCCACAAGGCTCGTTATCTTATCAAAGAAAGCTATCAGATTAGTTTGGCATGACTTGTTCTTCACAAACCCATGCTGGCTATTCCCTATCACTTTATTACCTTCCAAGTGTTTGCATATGATTTCCTTAATTACCTGCTCCATTATCTTCCCTGGGACAGACGTTAAACTGACCGGTCTGTAGTTTCCTGGGTTGTTCTTATTCCCCTTTTTATAGATGGGCACAATATTTGCCCTTTTCCAGTCTTCTGGAATCTCCCCTGTCTGCCATGATTTTTCAAAGATCATAGCTAAAGGCTCAGATACCTCCTCTATCAGCTCCTTGAGTATCCTGGGATGCATTTCATCAGGACCTGGTGACTTGCTGACATCTAACTTTCCTAAGTGATTTTTAACTTGTTCTTTGTGTATCCTATCTTCTAAACTTACCCTCTCTCTGCTTGTATTCACTACGTTAGGCACACCTCCAGACTTCTCGGTGAAGACCGAAACAAAGAAGTCATTGAGCATCTCCGCCATTTCCAAGTTCCCTGTTACTGCTTCTCCCTCCTCGCTAAGCAGTGGGCCTACCCTGTCCTTGGTCTTCCTCTTGCTTTTAATGTATTTATAAAAGGTCTTCTTGTTTCCCTTTATGCCTGTAGCTAGTTTGATCTCATTTTGTGCCTTTGCCTTTCTAATCTTGCCCCTGCATTCCCGTGTTGCTTGCCTATATTCATCCTTTGTTAGTTGTCCTAGTTTCCATTTTTTATATGACTCCTTTTTTATTTTGAGATCGTGCAAGATCTCCTTGTTAAGCCAAGCTGGTCTTTTGCCATATTTTCTATCTTTCCTACACAGCGGAATTGTTTGCTTTTGGGCCCTTAACAACGTCCCTTTGAAATACTTCCAACTCTCCTCAGTTGTTTTTCCCTTCAGTCTTGCTTCCCATGGGACCTTACCTACAAGTTCTCTGAGCTTATCAAAATCTGCCTTCCTGAAATCCATAACCTCAATTGTGGTGGTCTCCCTTCTACCTTTCCTTAAGATCATGAACTCTATTATTTCATGATCACTGTCCCCTATACTGTCTTCCACTTTCAAGTTCTCAACTAGTTCCTCCCTATTTGTTAAAACCAAATCCAGAACAGCTTCTCCTCTGGTAGCTTTTTCAACCTTCTGAAACAGAAAGTTGTCTCCAATGCAGTCCAGAAACTTATTGGATAGCCTGTGCCTCGCTGTGTTAGTTTCCCAACATATGTCTGGATAGTTGAAGTCCTCCATCACCACCAAATCTTGGGCTTTGGATAGTTTTGTTAATTGTTTAAAAAAGGCCTCATCCACCTCTTCCACCTGGCTAGGTGGCCTGTAGTAGACTCCTAGCATGATATCACCCTCGTTTTTTACCCAGAAAAGTAATTGGATCAGTTACCACAGCTGATTCTGGAAGGCTGACAAATACATTTGTGCTAGCACAATTTTCCTGATTGCCCACTTTCTCCTCCAAGGAACTGAAGTGAAGTTGCAGAGAAGAGATATCTCTCTATCAATAAGCACTGTATCATCTTCTAAATTGCTAAACCTGACTTTTACAGTTAGCATTTTTGGGGTATTATTATGAAATTCTTGCAAGGCACATTTTGTATTTTGATTAGGATTTTTCAACATACTGTGCACATCTTTCTTATTATTGTTTCTAGTATGAGAGATCTGGTTCCCATGCTTTCATCCTTCTCAGATTTATTTGAGGAGAAAGTATTGAAAACCCTAATATACAATTTTCTTTAAAATTATGTTGCAAAAAGATGGTATGTTAAAGAGAACTAAATTTCACATACTTCAGATAATGAAATACTAACTCATTGTACTAAAACCAGTAAAAAAGAGCTACAGGTTGTTATCTTCAAGAACTCAAATAAAAAGCAGCCAAGGTGGACAGTCCCAAAAAAGCATATCTTATCTTCAAGATTTTAACAATAAGGTCATTCTGCTGGCATCTCATGGTATTGGGAGATGACTTAATTTAATTATCATATTAAGAAGAATGATGGTCAAATGTAACTGGCATTTAAAAAAAAAATTAGCACTTTCAAACTTTTTAAATTTCCCATTCAAATATGTCCTCTCGCTTATATCTTGAGAATTGAACAGGCTTCACATACAAACATGTATTTAAAAAAAAAACAGAACATAATTTCTTGGATTGTTTAAATACTAACTAAGCTTTTTGCTGGGCAGAATAGGAGAGACGAAACTTTTTAGTTTGTTTAACATGAAGAATATGTGGTCATTTCACATGGAATGTTTATTTCATACTTATTTAGTATACATTTTAAACATTTATTCATTTGGCTCTTGTAAAATAAATAAATGTTAATAAAAATAAGCATTAATAAAAAAGGCAATTTAGCATTGATAAATAAATCCTGGTTATTAAGAATAAATGAAGATAATACAGTACGTGTATAATTTTTATTCTTGAAATAATTTGCAATTGTATTTTCTTTTTTAAAAATATCATTTCTTTTCTTTGTTTCAAATAAAAGCCTTTTGCTTTGTTTCTTTGCAGGCAAGGCCTTGGAAAAGGCTGGAGGGAAAGAATTTTTAGAAACAGTAAAGGAACTCCGCAAATCACAAGGACCTTTGGAAGTTGCTGAAGGTAAAAGGGATACTATATTATCTTTTTGAATATACCAGCTTTTCCTCCTTCCAAATATCTTTCCTTTTTCCTGCCACTCTGATCTGTTCTTGGGTTAATCTAGGACTTTGTCTTCACTAGGAGATATTGTTATAAAATTCCCTCTCTTAACTAGTGCTGATATAGGGGACATACCTGAATGAAAAGGAGGGGTCTTAGATGCCCCCTTGTTATGGTCTGTGGCAGTAGTTAATTGCCTTTACTTAGATTAAGGGACCATTTCTGCCTATGGCAGTCCCAACATTGGGGAAATGAAAAGGTGAGCTTTATGATCTCCCACTCCTAGACTTGAATATTGTGTTTTCCTCAGCGATAGCTTAGAACTTGCTGGGGCACAGGGTTGAAACTGAAGCCCAAGCCACACCATCCCTGGCAGCCGCATTACAATGTGGTTGTGTGACCCACTCTGTGTTGACAGTTTGAGCAGTTTGAGCTTGTCTGATCTCCTTTCGTAACACAGACCATAGAACTTCCCCAAAATAATTTCATGACTATAAAGATTTAGAAAAACTTCCAATCAAGGTTTAAAAATTGTCAGTGATGGAGAATCCACCAAGTGTCTCAAGTTAGACATTCAAAACTATTGAATACTTTTGACACTTTTGGCCTTAATCTCTTTGTGCCTTTATTTCCCAGATATAAAATGAGGCAATAAATCTACCTAACCCCCCAGGGAAGCTGTGAAGAGAAATTATTTTAAAAATCTGTGAAGCACTCAGATATAATTGAGACAGCACCTAAGACATGCCCATCAGAAAATTGATAATACTGTATGCAGTACAGAGTATTGAATGATGTATGTTAAATCAGGCCTGAGATCACACTCTAAAAGAGAATAAAGACAAATTATAAATAACTAGCCATTCACTGAAAGATCCTGTGGGAAAATAATTTGATTATGTAATTAACAACTGTATCTTAGTGCAGTGTTTCCCAAATACTGGGCCTCAGCGTGGCTGCCGGGAGGGGATAAGGACAGGCTGGGACGAGGGGGGCGGGGGGAGGAACCGGCCGCTGGGAAGCAGGG